CAGCGGGGCCATCTTGACTATTTTCGCGACGCGGAAAACAATGGAAAGACTGGGCTTATATCTTCATTGATACAACCCGTAAATGTTTAAGAAAAAGCTCCATTGTTTTTTGAAAATTTCTTCCAAGATGCACCCCTTCTTTAAAACTCAATATAAAATAAATAAATTTCAAAATTTGCGGTTTTAGCAAAAATTTAATGTTCGACCTTTCCCAATGACTCCTTCTTTGGTGCATCGTCTTACCGCAGCGGGGCAATCTCGACTGTTTTCTCGCGGTTATACTGCCATGCTAAGGAAGAACGCCGTATGAACATTCGAGAGTTGCCAAATTTCCCTTGATAAATCGTATATGTTTGACGCATTTTAAGCATATTTTCCCTTGAAATTTTCAGATATTTTAGATTAAATTGCGTACAAAATTGTCTGAAAATTTTGGTTAAAAGTAGTCACAATTTTTCCTGTTAATTCTATCTTTATCGAAGGAAATTTGACAACGTTCGAAGGCTCATACGACGTTTTTCCTGAGCACGGCAGCATAGGTGGCTGCGAGGCGAGTGGGGCTCATTGTCACACACGCCTCGACTCCTGAGAAGCGACGCGACGATATTTATGCTAACGACTTTGTGAGCCTCCGTAACCGCAGACGACGCTACCCGCAACGGCGCGGCGACCGGCGACCGTGGCGATGTCCTGCAAACTGGAAACATCCCGCGCCTCCCGATCGATTTTATGCAAATTCCCAATTACTCAAACACTCGCAGCACCTATGCTCCTCTAACCTCCGGCCCACCCAAAACTAGGCACCATTTTTCTTCGCGCTCAATGGCTCTCCCACCGTTGTCATGTATTCCCAGAAATAAACGTATAGATACACATGTTTACGGAGCAGCCCGAGACGATGGTAACAGGAGAAAAAACAAGAGGAAAAACGGGAAACAAGGCTAAAATACAACACTAAAAATCCGAGATGTTTTCAGTCGGAAAATATATTAAACAATAAAAGATATCGAAGAAAAAACCTGAGACCTACATGTTGATGGCTGAGATCCGAGAAAAAAATTTAAACAGAGAAACCTACCTAAGAACCTAGCTCTAACCTAAACCTAAGAAATAAATATATTGATCAGTATCCTAACCAGGTACAAAATTGACTGCGTGCAGCAAATATGGGCTCTAACATTTTTTGCCCATCTTAAAATCGTTTTAACCTGTATGAAAGTTAATAATATATTTGTTGTTTTTGAATCAAGAAAATGAAAAAAAAATTTTAGGCTGAATTCCAGTTTTTAATTTTTTCCCCAAAAAATCTTTTTAAGAGCGCAGGTATTCCAGAAGGTCAGTATCGTCGTCTTCTTTACGGTTGAATCGATGCCCTCTCTAGTCCGTTTCGTCGTCCATTGATGGAAGCGTTTGAAATTTTACTGTGGATTATTTTTAAATTTAACTTTCAATTTCAATACCTGCCAGTGAATTCAAAAACTAACTTTGCCAGGAAATAGGAGATTCAAAAAAAAAAAAAGGACAACGCACCTACCTACACAATACCCCGCATACAACGATGTGTGTTCAACAAGTGCGGCGTAGATTTTAACAGAAGTTTGGCAACCGCAATAAAATCTTGTCAAGTATGTTGCGAATTGCAAAGACACTCGTTGAATGCATATTTTATGTGGTTTCTAAGAAGATGCTTCGACGAGCCGTGCAGTGTGCATGCAGCTAATGAAAAATCAACACGTACAGCTTCATTAGAAGAGGTGACGGAGGGCGTATTTTTTCACAATCGTTTACGGGTTTATTTCATGGGTGGGGGTAAGAGAGGAATAAATACAATATTTTTATTTTTTCCAAAGGAGGAAAAATGTAGTTGTATCGTGTTTGTATGTAGTCTCCTGGCATTATCCATAAGTTATTGGTTCAGCAGAATTGCGTAAATTTAGTAGGATAATTATTGTATAGGTTAGTTTTACCCAATTGATAGTTGAATGTATCTTGAAACTCACGAGGCTGGGTTTGATTTCCAATTTTTTTTTTCCCTCTTCATTTACACTTACTTATAAACGACTTGTTAAAGAAGATGATATTCGTATGAGACATTTTGCCTTTTATCTGAGAAAACTCATCAATAATGCAAGGGCCCACTTTCGCATTCCGGTCTCAAAGCGCTCGTCCGAATAGATCCGCCCTCCTTTCAAGCTCATGACATTACACGAAGATTCATACACTGTAATCGTACAATGTTTGGAAGCAAACAGATTCGCAAACTGCCTAACTCGTCTCCCGAATCCGAGCGACATTTCATTGGCGGCATAGAGCGGTAATCATTGCGAGTTCACGTCTCGCGCCATCGCGCCTTCAATTCTGCAGACGCAATACGGACATCCATCAAGCTCGAATAGTTGTATCTCTGCGCCGTCATCAACTCGCAGTCTTTCCCTTGCTCCATTTCATCGGGTGTTGGTGCCGTTCGTCTTATTTTTAGTGGTGCACTAAGGGCTACTTGAGCAACACAGCCGAGAAGGTAGGAGAGACGTGATCGGGCCTCGTTTTTTTACCCTCTCTCCCAAATTTGAGCGACACCTCATTGACACGTAGAGCAAAGCATTGCGGGTTCACGCTTCGCGCCATCGCGCCTTCAATTCTGCAGACGCAACACGGACATCCATCAAACACGAATAGTTGTATCTCTGCGCCGTCATTCACGCGCGTTCTTTTCCTTGCTCTATTTCAATGTTGTGTTGGTTTCGTTCGTTTTACTTTTAGTGGTGCTTCAAAGACTACGTGAGCATCACAGCCGAAGGTAGGAGAGACGTAATTGGGCCTCGTGTTTTAACTGTTTTGGCGTTTGCAGCTCGCAAGTGCTTGAGGTGATTCATGCTGATTCTTGCACCTGTAGACGAGCTCTGAAAAGTGTTTCTTGGATGTCCCGCGGCAAAGAGAGCATGTCTCTTCGATCCAGAGTCTAGACTCAAAAAAAATTTGACAAGAAAAAATTACTCTTGATTCCATTGGATTTTTGCTTGACTCAAGAGTCAAGCCGCTCGATTTAAGCGGATTTCGCTTTGATTCCAACGAAAATCCGATCAAATCAAACGTATTTTTTCTTTTCACATTTTTCAAGAGTCTAGACTTTAGATCTAAGAGACTTTTTTTTCCAATGTCCTTTATGGAAGATTCCGCCAGCCAATGAGAAAGCTCAAATTTCAGCTCATCGGCGTTCGGCGATTATAAAACGACGCAACAGAGATACGCGCTTTTTGACTCCAGCCATCGCTTTAAAATTGGCACTGACCTTTACCTAGTAATCGCAAAAATCCTTAAGTAAATTTTTTGTTCGAACTGATCTATACCTTTCTCAGCCGTAAACGCCCAACCTACTATTTTAAATTATAATGAATTATATTCTCGTGATTCAGTGACCTCTGAAACTCCCACAAGTTGATCTGAAACGTTCACACAGTAAACGTGAGACTGGGAAGTTCTCTGCTAAACGTGCGCCACCGCACTCTATTCCCCCTCTCCCCCCCCCGTCCCCCTTACCTCACAATTTCCTGAATGAACTTTCGTACCTGGCTTGGACGCATTGCTATGCCATGTGCAGTCGTAATGTGCGTGACGCGCTTGCTCACCCAGTGCCTGTGAACTTGGGAGGCAGCCTCAGTTCAAATCAGGAAACCGGTTCGCGGCATAAAAATCACAAAGCCGTTATCGAAGAATCGACCAATAGGAAACGAGAGCCCCCCACTTTTTTCCCGCTCCCGACAACGGCCCAACGAACGAGCGAGGGGCTCGCATTCCTGAATTCGTCGGTCTCGGTTTGTTTACAACTTGTGTCTCTACTCTTATCAGGAGTTGGAGACATATTTTAGTGTTCCTTATCGTGTTTCTTATGGTTTTTGACAGTGCAATACTTCATGTTGTTTCCGCAATTTTTATGTTATACTTGTTTTTTATTCGCGTTGTCTATCAGTGACGTAAATTATTGCAGAATTGTGGCTGGAATACCATGACCGGCAATACCCGGAGAGGTTAAAGTTCTTGTTATTTTATTTGAATTTAATTTGAATTCGCATCCCACAATCTGTCCTGTGCAATTTTAATATAAATCTTCTTAGCGTTAAGTGGAATTTAACACGTGAGGTTCATTCTGAGGTTTGCCTGATATCCTCAGCCATTAGTTTGCATGAGGATGTTTCAAACTACCAGCCAAAATTGAGGGGCTGAATTTTTGGGCTTTAGGGAATGAGTTTAATGTCAATACTGTTAGCAGCCTGTGAATTACAGTACTGATTGAATTACAGGATATTGGCAATAGTCAGTGGCTGAGACAATAAATTAAATAAATGGATTCTTCATGGGAATGGACCTGAAATCTCTAACACTACTTTCTTGTTTTTGGTTTTATCAAATTATTTTCAGAGCGTACTCTTGATGTAATATATTACTCTTTTTCTCTAATTCTAAAGACCCAGCTAGATTGTTGAAGTAAATAGTATTCTTCCTGCGTGCCTGGTTCTAGAATAAATGAGGTACAACTGTCTAAAAGAGCATTAAAAGTCCGCTAGCTATCGATACATTACTAGCTGAAGTCAATAATCATGTATCTTGGTGCGGGATTTAACAGACATCTTGTCTCACTTCATTTCCTAATTTGAAAACTTATTGACAAAAAACACACCTTAAAATTTTTTGTACGTAACCGTTCTTTTCTGTTTGAAAACATTTTATTTAGTAAACATTTCAAGCATCATGGATAGCATGCTTTCCTCCAAAGTGGTCCGAGTTTTATGGTCATCAATAGCTCTACCATAACCATCGTACATAGGTCTGCATGGTTAAAGGTTCTTGCTGCGGCTTGTTGACAAATAAGTCGATTTTCTTCGGAATATACCAATCTATTCTTTTCAATAGTCAGATGTATGCACTCTGAAAATCATGCTGATTTTATTTCAAATTGTCTCCACCATTATATCAATCTAATGTGGTGATTTTGTCTGTTGCAGCTGTGACTCCATTGAAGTCTGCATCAACTAATAGCTCTCGATCGACGAGCCCTTCTCACTCCTTTATTCCAGCACCGAGAGTCTCTGCTCGCAGCTCTCTGAATGAAAAGCAACTCACTGGGTAAATTTTTAGAATTTATATTTTGCAGCAATCCAAATTTACGTGTTACATAAATATTACTCACGTGCTACTCAAGTCATCGAGATGAATCGTTAGCAATTCCGTAGAAAAGTGTTTACACCTAGCAATGAATGTGAGTAAAATGTATAGCGGGCCCTAAGTACAGCTCAATTTTTGGAGAAAATTACACCTCAAACATCTTACTGGCATATTCAAAGGGGCCAAGGGCAACTGAACAGTAATAATTATAATTTTTTACTTTACCTTGGTGTAACTCATCATCATTATGAGAGCAATATATTCAATGATAATCCTGCATCACAAAAGGGGCCAGATTGATTGGTACACTATTAACAAATATGTCGAAGTGAGTATTCCTTTATTTTAGGGAGCGAGTAGGATTTAAATTTTTAATCAAAATGAATAACTTCAGAAGAATTCATAATCACCAATCTCTGAACAGAACTCATGTCAAATTAGTACTTATTCCTAAGTAAAAAAATAAATTAGGATCAGAAAGCCCATTGTAATAAAATTGTATCTGTATAGAGAACTTGCAGGAATCAGCCTTTTTTTCACTCAAAGAAGTTTATTTATCATCCACATTTTAAAAGATGAAAACTCGAAATGAACAGTGAAAATTATTAAGAAAGCAGCTCAGTCAAATTTTCATGATTTCGAGGAAAATAAGTTGAAAGTCAGTAAATTCCATGGGTGCACATATTCAAATAAACTAAAAACTGAAATATTGAAAAGGGGAAAAAAAGGAAGAAAAAAAAGTACTAGGTACTATTCTACCTTTTAATTAGATATACCTCCAGGTGAGTTTTAATTGAAATAACATATATCTCCTTTTTTTAAAAAAATGTCTTGGAACTCCTTCATCTGGGATAACCATAAATTAATCAATTCGTCCTGTAATAATAGTAGCCAAGCTTGAATATAATCTTATTCACCTGCATGACCTGATAGAATCGTAGTCAAAGATTTTAATTTTTTTTTTTAGATGCTAGTACTGTGCTCTAGGGGAAGTGTTTCACTGCAGCTCTCTCTTACAAAATCTATATGTATTTTTGTTAATTATTGAGTGTTTAGCTGTACCCCTTAGGATGTATAAGTAATAAATTTTGTTTTCAGTGGAACAGGAAAGAGAATTTTAGTCATTGGATCAATAAAGTTGCATGAACATTTATTTATGTGCAGTGTCTGCTGCGGAAATGTAGCATTAGAAATTTTTCATCACTTAGTATAAAAGGTTTCATAAAAATTTTATCTGGTACCTTTTTCTTAGAAAAAATAGAAATGAAGACTTCATTCTTGATCATTAGATCCACACAGAGCAAGTTTCAATACCTGCAGTGGGTAGACCTTAACAGAAATGCACTAAGTCGCACTTTGGAAAAGAGAGTTTGAAGTAGTTTTGAATTCAATTAGTTGTACTTTGTCTCCTATTAAAAACTTGAAGTCAAGAAAAATGATTTTCAATGCGAAAACATTCATTGAACTTAGTCTTTAAGATCAAGTCTTATGGAGGAATGAAACTTCAACCTCTTTTTCTAGCTTCAAACTTGATTGATTTGATAGGTTTCTGCTATTCTCAGCCCAACTATCCTCTAAATTTTTCCTTATATTTTAGTCCAAAATATAGGTAAGTACTTCTGTTTATGTAGCATTTTTCTCCTTTACAATGGTCGTTGTTATTTTTTCATTTTTTAGGAATGTTTTTTCTAATTTTATTTTTTGTTAAATTTTAATTTATTATGTCCTGGCAGTAGTGGAGTTCCTCGGAGCAGTAATGTTCCCACACGTGTTAGTTTGGCAAGCCCCTATAATCCTGCAAATACCAAATCATCCATCATCTTTACACCCAAAGAGAAACCAAAATCAAGTGAGTCTTGGTACACATTTTTAATATGTTGCTTTTACGATTTTTGTTGAGCGTAAGTTTAAATGAGCACAGGAAGATTAAGTATTTCAAATTAACTCCTGTTTGTACCTGTCAACTGTTTTTGAGGAAACTATAACTGCATGGGATAAAGCACAGCATAAGCAAAGCTTTCAGGGTCCCCAACATCGGATCATAGGTCGCATCTGTTCTTAGCTTCATCAGAAAATTATTTGGGAGCATTATTTTCATTACCATTTAGCTATGTGTGATCATGTAATTAATACCTCTAGTGTCATGTATACTTAACACTTCTTGTTTCATTGTTATTGTAGCTTGGTAATGCCATCCTACTCTTTTAGGCAAGTGCACCATGCTGATCTAGCAACCACTGTCTCAAAGCCAAAATATTCTGAGAGCTACGGGAATTTTTAAGACTAACCATTCAAATAAATTTCCTGCGCATGGACATGGCACTCGATAATGATTTAGAATTCATAATTCATTTTATAATATTTCATGCTCCATCTTTATTTGTGATGCCTCATAGCTGGCATAATGATTCAACCTTTTAGTCCAATTTATTCTTGAAATAAGTCCATTTTTTTTTATTATCCAATGCATATAGTCTGGCAGTTTTCTTTGGCTTGAAGATATCTAAGAGCTTAGTTGCCCTAATCACAAAAGTGTTTTTAGATGGTTAAAAGTTTTAGAATAGCCAAGAAAACGCTGAGATTTGCTCAATGACCTCACACAAACGTATTCTTATTGACCAAAATATTGCTCGGAAGGAAACACTGTAATGATAGTTATACGCTGTAGCAATGCAGACCATGTTTCTTCTATCTTGGATTGGTACATTAGTGACGTCTAAATGGGCATCGGTTGAAACACACCACTGATTTTATTAAGGTACTTAGAAGAAAGCATGGTACCTATGCATTATCACTGCGGATGAAGTCAATTTTGGTGGGTTCTTTTGGAGGGCCATCATTGAACCTTAAAAACTAGATTGGATTTTATTATTTTTTTGTAAATTTTTAAATTTTAATCATGACCAGCTGACACATTATAAAAATATGAAAGCCTAAATTATTAGCCGTGAGTTTGGCATGTTAGTCTAAACTTTTTAATTTTTTGCAACAAAGTATAATGAGAAGTAGACTCTCTACCTTGTTGAAGCCTGTTCAAAGAATGAATGTTTGATATAAAGTTATATTACTCTCAGTTTTCTCTTGAATATTATTTTTTATTTTTCTCTTTGTTCCAGGTATCGGTAGTACCAAAAGAACATCTAGTTCGAGTGGATTCAGTTCAGCCAGATCGGAAAGAAGTGATTCCTCAAATAGCCTGTATAATGATCCTAAGCAAACGTTAGTATTTTTAACTGTCAAATTCTCATTTAAAGAACGCTAAAATAATCCTGCTCAGTTCCAGTAAAAAATTTGCAGCAAACTTAGCATTTGAACTTGTGTGACCATTTTTGCATTGTTAAAAGCAAAGTCCTTGTAACAATGTCTTCAAAGGATCTTCTGAGTGCAAGAGAGTTTGGCCTGTAAATAGGTAGTTGAGTTCCAAAGTTTTTGGTACCAACATAACGATGTGCACGATAAAATCTCCCAAAAAATTGTATCTGCTGAGAACTAAAACTTCATTTTCTGGAGCCTTCCTGAACATGTCTGAACCATTATGTTCGTTACCGCCATCTAAAAGCTATTAAGCTTTACTTTAGCTTATAAAAAGTCTGCAATTTTTATGGCTGGTTTGTAAAAGTCTGTAAAGTCCAGACAGGGGGGTCTGGTAATTGTCTACAACCTGGCAGTTGAAAATTGCAATGTTTTGTCATTATCTAATAAGTCTATAAAGAACGAAAAAGAACTGTCCGTTCAGGCAATTTCTTGAGGGTTTTATCTCCATAGGAACTACTAATAGGTATATTGACCGCAATATGACTTGGAAATAGTTCATAAGCTTTTAATTTTATGTCAAAATGGAGTAGACACCCCGAGTAAATGTGTTACCAAGTCCAAGCAATTCAATTCATTATTTTGTTAAAAGTGAGAGGATGCAGTAGACAAATCATTAAAAAAATGCAGGTTGAATGTAACTGTTTGTAGTAACACTGCTTTGACAGGGCAGGGGTTTAGCAGCAAGGGTTTAGCATCTCAGGATAATGTGTTCGTTGTTGGCGGGCAAGCTTTCTTGCTAACCATAGCAGTGTGCCCAGTCTTGGTATGATTTCTATAATCTCTGTAAAGCTTAAGAGCACAAAATTAATCTGTTCTGTGCTGAGATTTGGAATAATGAGTTACACAACTTGTCCACAGTTGCAGTGTGTTGATAAGCAGCATAAGATTTAAGGTGAAGTTTTAATACAGTGTCGCAGCCACCATCTTACCTTATTGAATTTGCGTTTTGTAAACCTCTCCAAGCATTTTGGTCACAAAGCATCTTGGACGCCAGCACAAAAACAACCTTATTTTTCCACAAGGACGGTTTTTAAAATATTCCAACTTATTCATCATTTTCCTCTTGTAAAAATATATTGAAAATAACTGATATAAAGCCTACGACTTGTGAGCTTAAAGGGCTCACTAATTGGTTTACTTTTCAACATTTTAGTACATTCTTTGGAGGGATCTACTCCAAGAACGCCTTGTAAATTTTATTGAAAGTTTTGACCAAGAAGTCCTATTAGTTCATTCTGCCGACATTGACATTGAAATTTGGTAACTACACTCAGAAACAATATTTCAATAGGTTACTTAATCTTTTTTCAGGACTCTTGAGAAGAAAATTCCTTCCTCAACAGATTCAGCACTGCGGAAAAAGCTTATCAAGACTGGTGAATCTAAAATAGCAACAAAAGCTAATTGTAAAGTTCAACAAATTAGACCTTTAAGCAAAGCTGCCTTAGATAAACAAAACGAGCTTACAAACTCAATAAGTTCTGAGGTAACATATTGTTTTCTTCTATTCACTTCTTCTATCGTTTTTTTAAAGGTCTGAGGTTCTTTACAGGAAACCTTTACGTACTTTCAGAAGTGGATGAATAGATTGTCCTACCTCAAAAATGTATGATTCAACTCATGTTGTTAATCATGGCATTATGTGAAGTACCATTCAAATTGAGTGTGGTTGCGTGTCTTCTCCCAAGACATGGTTATGCTACTATAAATCGTTTTATGGAACAGATCGTACAGGCACATAGTAGTGGTACTATTTTTCTAGTCAGTTTGGTACTGAATTTCTGTTTATTCTCAGCAGATGAAGCTATGTATCAGTCAGGTTACTTGATAATCAAAGCTACCAATCTTTAACAAATGAAGATTTTATCATGTTCTTACTGGGGGTCTGCGAAGCGGCGATTTTCAAAAGCTTCGCTTTGCTTAGCAATTTGCGAAGCAACTGCGAAGTGAAGCGGACAAAAAAACCCCTTCAAATACGTTGGATGCAACCCGCGGAATTTCGTTGCGGTTACTCCAGCGAGTCGCGACTCAGCGTGCGGCGGTGGTAAACTTCATTGAACACTAGGAAATACGTGAAGAATACATTCATTAAATTTTCCCCCTCTTCCCTTAAATTTTAAGAATGAATTTTTATTGAGATGCCATATTTTTTTTTAATGATTGTTTGGCAAAAAAGGGGAAAAAAATAATCAGCATCATAATGTTTATTAGGTGACTTACAATTTGTTGTGATGAAGTGATTAAAAAACAATACAATCAATTGTAAAAAAAGACCTCCAGAACAAGGATCGAACTCTAAACCTCCGGTATCGAAGATGAGTGCGCTACCGCTAGGCCAGCCAGCTCATGTATTTGGAGTGGCACTTGGATCGTATTCAAAGGTGTCCAGGCTCAACATTAGTGCGTTGCTGACACGAAAAAACGCAACTTCCAAAATTCTTAACTCAAAAATTGCTGGGCATTGGCGCAAAAAAAAAAAAAAAATACGGGTTCTTATATTTCCCTATTCTATCTTTATGCCAAAAATGAACCTGATCTGAGGGGGACAATCGTTAGCCTCCCCTTGCAAGAAGCAATGGAGTCATGCAATTGGTCAGATCAGTCAGTCATCTTCTTTGTTTCGCCCATGTTTAATGAAATCGATGACAAGCTATCGGCATCTCAAGAGGTGACTTTAGCTTGTTGTCGATTCCTCTCAACATAGGTATGATAAAGAGAACAACCAATGAACTTCAGCAATCATGTAACTCCATCCAGTAGTAGTCTTTTTTAGTTCGGTCTAAAATCAGCCTACCGCTCATATTGTTGAAATCAATTCTTCTCTCTGGACAGTTGTTTTTTCATTACTTGCACTACTACCTTATCGTTAGAGAACGTTAAAAATCCATCAAAATATTATTTGTAGTACTCTTATGAGCTATTCTTGAACTCATCATAATGAACTTATTACCATTTATAAGATGAAGAAGTTTTATCATCATTTTGACTTGAAATTCTGGATCAGTCAGAAGCCTGTTAGAAATCACGATAGGCTGTTTCAAATACCTAAGTTTATCCCTTTCATCTGCCTGTGCAGCCACTGTAACTGCTATATGCGCAAGCAGATGGGAAGGGTAAACTTATTCGAAGTAGAGCCTGCATTAGTCATGTTAATAGCCTGAGTCGCTGAATGTCTTAAAATTATAATAAGTAACTAACTTGCTTTCCATATAATATTGACCAGCTGAAAAATTAGGAGATCCACCATTTTTCTCACTTTTTTCTTAATTCAGGTTTCTTTAAGAAATGTTGACCACAAATCCGTTTCTTGGGCAATGATTCTACCAAACAAGAAACAATGCGTGGGCGCAAGTTTCAGATAACTTTAGAGAGTAAAGTGCCGATTTTCAAAAATTCAATGTAACATTCTGTTATGTCTGTTTCTATCATGGAAATGTCAGTTCAGCATGCAGTTCTCACTATTTCTTTAAATGCTCCCTAGAGACGCTGAGGGACAACCCTAAGTTATTTATGCACATTGGAGGACAAAATATAAATATACACTTTTAAATTTATCTGTTTAGACTTGTTTCTCTAACTCAAGCCTCTGTCATTTTGTCCATCTGTATCTTGGCCCCAAACAATTTAGTATATATATCTTTGAAGTAATTTTTTGTCACTTCTCTTCTCTTTGAAAGGTTTTTAAAAAATCTCACCATCTCATTCCATTCCTATTATTTTTGCAGACAAGTGATGAGTCAAGACTTAGCATTGGAGGTGGCAGCAGCATACCAAAACCACTAGCAGCAGTTAAAGGAACAAGCAAGCCGACTCATTGTGTGTCCCCGATGCCTGTTTTAGAACAAACCACTATCGTCATTGAAAATGATGAAAGCATCAAGAAAAAAGAAGATGACGATGAAAAGAAAGCGAAAGAAGAAATAAAAGAAACTGAGAAGGTAATATTTGGTGTGGGATGTCCATTTGATAGTGTAAAGTTTAAAAGATCCAATAAAACAGGAAAATACTAGAGTTGGGTTGGGTATCCGGCGATGATGCGGATTGCCGGATACAATTTTTGCGGGTATCCGTATCTGGCCAGATAATCACCAAAATCACCAAAAATTTCGAGAAATTTTTGCATTTTTCGGCGCTTTTTGAGTAGTCAGTGTGATAGTTCAACTTGTTGTCCCTAGAATCAAGGACATTTCCTGCACATTTACACGATTGCAGTGTGATCCTTAATTTCGAAAGTCCGCGTGTTTCACTTTCAAAGACGAAGATGTAAGTAAAAGAGAAAAAAAAAACAATGCCACCAACAGGTGCTTAAGTTCCCTGTTGGTAATGTTTTTAGTCCGAGTGTTACTCCGCAATTATTGGAATGTCGCAGTACGCAGCTTCTTATTGCAGCATCAAAGCGCTGTTTTCCACTATTGTCTTGTTTAGGCACACTTCTAATAATATCTCTCTTTCTGCACAGCAGATTTATCTGGCCCATCTTATCATGGAGCCAATGAAAGCCATGCTGCTTATCTGCCAGGTCTTTTTTTTTAGTATTCGTTTTAGCGGGCCAACTCATAGCGTATCATTGAAAAATATGGAGGTTACCGTTGCAAAGGCATATACATCGTAGATGACGGTCTTGATGGTGTAATACACAATGTGCCCCTTGTCCCCAGCGCAAAAGCGGGAGATTTTTCTAACGAGAAAAAGCACTATCCGGATCCAGTATTATCCGGTTCTGGCTGGATACCTTGGTGAATTATCCGGTATCCGGCTCTGAACGGACACAAAAATTGATATCCAAATTTGGTACGCGGAAAATCCATTTTGGCCCAACTCTAAAAAATATTTTGAAATACTGTTATCAATTGTAAATTTGCTATGCCCCCAATTTTGATGATCTTGATCGTAAGCTTATGTAAAACACAAAGGAAAATTAACCGGAAAAATTCACTATTTTAAGAAATATGACAAACATGGTGACACGGTGGAATCTTGATAAGTTGGGCAAGCTTAGGACAGGCACTCTTGTTCGACTTGAGCAAAGTTCCAAATTATGCTGACTTTGGCACTAGTTTGACCTTTTTCAAAAGAAAATTTTGTCCAAAGCTGAAACATGGGAAATACATCCTGAATGATGTATTTGAGCTGTAATTCTGTGATCTTTATTGATCGCACTAATCAGTGAGTTTCTTCGGAAATTTTGGAGCCAAATCATCCACTTGTAGAAGCTGTAAAGAAAGGCTGTCATTTTGGTGACAGTGCATTTTATTTTTAGTGATAATGATGCCAGACACACAGGAAATGAACTCAGAGTACAAGCCCGCTGAATCAATCTTTGTTAAAGAAAAACTGGCAAAAGAATGGAGAATTTCCTAAATTTGATTATAAGCCTGACTTCATTGATACATTGGCTGGGTTACAAAAATACGTTGCCAGAATGAAAGAAAGCAAAGTCTAGATCAGCAATCTGTACGCTGCAATAGGGTCTTTAGTGGCAGTCACATGCAGAGAGTGTTACATGTCCATGATCATTGTGCGCGCAAGCATGGAAAAATTGCACCAAAGGAAAGAGCGAAATTGGGTTAGGTCACTGGAGAAATACCCCTCTTTTGTTGGAGTGCAACTGGCAATATTGCACCTGAAAGTTAGGAAACCAATCGAACCAAGCTTTTTTTGCTGAGCAGGCATGCAATCTGTAGTAATAGGTGCAAAGATCTACTTTTTTGCTTTTAAAGGGCAGTTAAAACTCCAAGGCTCGTCTAAGTGAATCGCACAAAACACATCGCTGCAAAGCAAATGAATGAAATCAGTTCGCCGTAAGAAAGCAGCCAATCTAGAGTAATTTCTATGATAATTTACTTTTTCTTTCAGATTGTACCACCAACTGTAAACAACCACACTAAACAAGTTTCTGTGGATGAGGAAGACTGTTTATCAAACATCAAGCCAATGCAACCAATGAGAGGCTATCCCAAGCAAAACGGCATGCTGCAGCGGGCTCACTTATCCACAGAACAACTAGGTAAATTATAAATTATTTTATGCGGCTATGTGAACAGATTATTTTCAAGTAATGAACCTGCCTCATGAGATGATTCATTTTAACTCAAGAAAACACCTCCTACAAGCACTTGCTTTGAGTGGTAAAAAAAAAACTAAAAAGTTTACTCGAGTCAAATCGTGCTCATAAGCTTTACAATGAATTTTTAAAACTTCTGATGCATCAAATGAATTTAAGATTGAGCCTCTAGCAGGCTCGCTTCTTGTATTACAGAACTAGTTCAAGTACTTTTTGGATACCCTTTGTATATTTGGCGCTGCATAAATTTTTACTCCACAGGGTGGTTCATTAAATGCACCCTACATGGTAGTGGTAGTAGAAGTGGTTCCAATGACAAATATATGATTCCAGAGTCAGAGCCTTTCTCCTGAAGGAGAATTTTTTACCTGCGAGAGATGATTCTATGTTAGACTGTACTTTTTAAGACCTCTTTGTGTTGCACCTCTTGCATTAATTTTGTCATCGGAAGACTCAACAGCCGTCTGTCAAGCCATCAGTAGCTTGAATGAATGATTGTGGTAGACGCTGCTGAAGGCATGAATGTCAGAGCATTGCCATGCCATCCATAGAGTTAGATTCTTGTTGTTACAATCTCCCATGAATAGGTGATGTTGGCAGTCGCACATACTATGGGGGACCCAAGATTTAATCACATACTCAGTTAATATATTGTAGACTGACTACTGCTGGATAGACATGTTGCCTGGTCCTTGCCCTCCCTGTTGCTGCAGAGGAACAGGTAGGCTATTTGAGTGACATGGTCACCCTGAACCCCTGCAACAGAATTGGAAGTGTCTCTAAAAATCCGGGGCCTCAGTGATGGCCCTAAGCCGCCTTGACCACGATACCAACAAAACTAACAAGACTGACAAAATTAACTTAAAGAACAACTTTAGAATATGGTGGCCTTTTTCCGTCTGAAGATTAGAGAAGGATTCATATTAATAGTTCGGGTACTTCTTTGGTTGAGTATAAAAGTTAGTTGCAATTTGAAAACTAAAGTAAACATCTAAGCTGAAACACTTCACTGAGAGATTCAGTCTGGAACAAACCAACATCTAAAATCTACAAATATTTATGTCTTTACAAATAAGCAAATGTATAGATTGCTCTTTTAAAATTCTTCTTTGTGCAAATAATACTGAAGAATTCATACAAAATTTCAAAGCAGGTACTAGAGTGACGCACATGGTGATTGAAATTGCTCGGTATGAATGAGTAAGAAAACTTTACTCGTACCTAACGTTCACACAACTACTAATACAAAACACTATCAATGGATCAAACAAAAATATAAGAAGAAACTAGTTATTAATGTAGTTAAATTTTTACTAAGCAAAAAACCTAAAAATTCTGTCGTATGCAATGTAGAAACCCATCAGAACAAAAAATAACAACTGTAACCAATGAGCAAAAATGACTTTACAGAATATGATCATCAATTGAGCTATCAAAATGCTTGCTTGTTCCTTGCAAGTAGAACCATTAATTTTTGTAGATTGTGGGTGCTGCCATGTCCTGATTTGAATCTCTCATTAAAGTATTTTGGCTGCAAGACCTTGTGTTTCTCCTTTATTTTCAGCGGCAAAAAGATAAACAAATGTAAAGTGACTTTAAATTAAAGAGCAAAATATTGAATTACTTTATGCATATTCATTTTCATTTTCAGCAATGCATCATCAGTCAATGGGGATGCAGTCTCAAAACTACATGAGGCACCTAGAAAACAGCAGGACAAGGTTGAACTCTGACCACTCGGGTATGAATGGTAAGCTAAGCCAACATGACTGTTTTTTGCTTGATTATGTTGGTCAACTTTCAGCTCTGTTCTTGCAACTTCCCTCTACTTATTACTCCTCTCACCACTTATCCATTTGAGGCTAGAACTCCGTAACTTTTTCCTACATTTTCAATTTTTCCTTTCATAAATGTTCCTAACTTACAGGAAAATCAACAAGTATTCATCCTCTTTTTTCAAAATTACCGTGCTGCATTTTTAGAATTTAAATTGAAAGAAATGAAGCTTGAATATTAGTAGATTTTCCTGTAATCCTCAGAGCATTTTTTTTCGGAAAAAGAGTTTAGAAAAAAGTGCTTTAAATTCACATCACAACTTCCTTGCTTTAGATAGCAGAATTGTTTTGAATTAAACATACAATTCAGGGTTCTAGATTACAATCAATCAGTAAATCATCATATAATTATCCTAATTATAAATATTTGATTATCATTAGATATTATTGCTCTCTTAATTTTTTCAAAAAGGTTTAAAAGCAAACAATCAGAACGGATTTAGTTTAAAAAAATTTTTTTTTGAAAATCAAAGGCTTTAAGACCTTTAAAGGTCTTCAATTAAGTATAACTGGAAATCTGCAATGTCGCAAACAGAGACACATAGTTTCCCGCTGTGACCAACACCATACTGGGCAAATGATAATGGTCCACCATACAAGGTACGAATGTACATTGGGTGTTCAAAAAGTTTTGCACACTTTCAGGTTTTGAGCGAACAAAAGCAGCTATCGATTTGCGGTTTGTGTGTGCTTAAAGTAAACGCAATTACCAATAAAACAAGACCAAGAACAACTCTCTAGCTTAAAAAATGACCGAGATACAGGGTTTTGAAAATGACTTGTAGCGTGACCCCTTCCAGGATTTTTAGCACCAAATATGTTTGTCAAGAAAAAAAAGTTAAATGAGAATTGAGTGTTTTTATTGAAAAAACTTACAAAATCTTACGGAAATTGACGAAGCTTCTACATCGGATGACACGGCTGACTATACATTCGACTGTTTTTCGAAGTATTTTCCACCACTTTGAACACAAAGCTTCAGCGGTTCTGCCCACTTCACGAAGATCGTCTTTTCGAAGTCTTCTTGGCGGAGGGTTTTGAAGAATTTTTGATCAACGGTTTTGATCTCGGCTATGGAATCAAACCGTGTGCCTCTCAGAAATGTCTTTAACTCAGGAAAAAGCAATTCCATAGCCGAGATCAAAACCGCTGTTCAAAAATTCTCCAAAACCCTCCGCCATGAAGACTTCGAAAAGACGATCTTCATGAAGTGAGCAGAACCGCTGAAGCTTTGTGTTCAAAGTGGTGGAAAATACTTCGAAAAACAGTCGAATGTATAGTCAGCCGTGTCATCCGATGTAGAAGCTTGGAATTCGTCAATTTCCGTAAGATTTTGTAAGTTTTTTCAGTAAAACACTCAATTCTCATTTAACTTTTTTTTCTTGACAAACATATTTGGTGCTAAAAATCCTGGAGGGGGTCACGCTACAAGTCATTTTCAAAACCCTGTATCTCTGTCATTTTTTAAGCTAAATATTTGTTCTTGGTCTTGTTTTATTGGTAATGGACCACTAGACAAGGTACGAATTTAAGCGATCTGATACATGTTTCTTAACCAGAATTTCACGTAGAAAACGATTCACACAACGAAAATTACGGAAACCAACTCCTAACGAAGATATTAACGTTTTTATTTCACATTGGTTACGAGGAATTTGAACTGCCCGCTCACAAGAAACTCAAAACTCTACGTGAGTCAAATCGCCCACTACAACGGTTTCAGCAAGCTTCTCAATCAAGCAATGTTCATTTCCCATCATGTGTTATTCAAACTATTAGCAATTTGCTATAACTGAGCCAAAGCGTCAAGATTGAGGTTGCCAGATTTTTATATCGCAGAGACTGTCATGATAACGTTTAGTGCGCGACGTGAATCACGTAGAGCATTGAGTTTTCATGAGCGGGTGGTTTGAATTCACGCATTAAGTATCATTAAATATCTTCGTAAGGAGTTAATTTCGGTAATTTTCGTTGTGTGCATCGTGTTTTACGTAAAATTTTGGTCAAGAAACATGTATCAGAATGCTGAAATTCGTACCTTATCCAGTGGTCCATTGCGTCTACTTTAAGCACACACAAACCGCAAATTGATAGCTGTTTTTGTTCGCTCAAAACCCGGAAGTGTGCAAAACTTTTTGAACACCCTATGTAAGTATTATGATACATGTTTCTAAACCAGAATTTTACGTATAACAAGATTTTAGCATTGAAAATTACTAAAATCAACTCATAACTAAGATATTAACGTTTTTATTTTACATCGGTCATGGGAAATTTGAATCGCCTGGTCACAAGAAACACAATTTTTACGTGAGTTAAATTGCGCACCACAACAACAGTGGCAGGCTTTTTAATCAAATAATGTTTCTTTTCCATGTTGTGTCATGCAAAGTGTCAACAACATTCAACAGTTAAGCCAAAGCACCGAAATTGAGGTTGCCATCTTTTCATACCAAGGAGACTTTTGCGGCAACGTCTCATCGCATGATTTGACCTTCGTAGACCCTTGCGTTTTCATGAGTGGGAGGTTCGAATTCACAATTTAAGAAACATTAAATATCTTGGTTAGGAGTATATTTCAATCATTTTCATTGCACGAATAGTGCTTTACATGAAATTTCGTTTAGGATACATGCATCAGAATGCTTAACTTCGAACCTTCTCTATTGGTCCATTGGAAAACAAATTTTGTTATATAGAGCTGTCTGTTGTTTAGTCCTTCTGAGCTAGACAGCTTAAATTTTTTTTCAAAACTCTTGGAGTAATAAATTCAGCAGCGTTACTGGTGCATACCAAATATTAATTCCACCAATAACTTTGTCTCTTTATTCTTATTTAATCAGCTTGATCTAAGTCAGCCTTTATATCTGTTCCAAGGTTACCTCTCTGACGGTGAAATCCTTCAAAACGGGTCAAGTTCAAGATCAGTGTCAGATTTCTGTGATGGCTATATGTCAGAGGGAACAGCAATTTATGGTTCTTCTCCCAATCACCAAAGGTAAGGAGAACTTTTCATTTTACACTGTCATTGTAGTTTGGTTTTCTCTGCACATATTTACAGTCAAAATCCTGAAAGAAAAAAATGATCCTCTGAAAAACTTTTGGTGATTAAAAGAAAAGGAACATTTTCAAGGAATTTTCCGACAAAGTATGAGTATGACTCTAATTTGGGTTATATTTAAGGTCGGTAATTTTTTTTCCCCTCTTTATCATTTTTGATTTGCTTGTTGGTTTAATGGAAATTTGTGAAATCCATCATACCATCAAATGGAAATTTTGATTTCTTTTTTGAAACTGAAGGTGAACTCCATATTAAATTGGTTCAATCAGTGGCAACAAAATTAATCAATGCTTTGCTGTGTCTAAATTACTGCTTATACAAAAACATCGTGATTGGACCTGTAAAAATGATCAAAAACTGAAGTTCTCTGTGTACTTATAGACGAAACATAATTCTGCATTCTTACTGTGTAGGGATCACCTGACTTTTTCTAGTTACTGGTTTAATGATAGCCATCATCATATAACAACCTGGCACCATTAGCAACATCTAGCAACATTTAATTTAATATTGACAATGCACTTTTTCCCCCTAAAAATGCATTAGAAGAAAGATTTTGACAAACAATGAAGAAAAACGTCATCAAAAACTCGTAGGTGGCTACATTTCACCTTTCTCTTAAATGGCCTTGACCTGGTCAAATTTTAAGCAGATGATATGATCATGGTCTCAATGGATAGCTTAGAATTTGGTCTTCAAAATTAAACATGAAACTAAGATTATGTCGCTAAAATTATTAGTTTTGAAATGGCAGCGTCAGTCTCAGTTTCTTAGGAGTTGATTGTTGACAAGACCTGAGGCTCTGTAGTGTTTCTTGCTCCCATTCACGAAGGAACAGTAGGTTGAATCGCAAATCGCCCGTTTTTGTAGAGACTCTATTGTAAATTGACAATTTTAGTGATATGAAAGGGACCAATAATCCTGTAGAAAATTTTCCAGGAAAAAGGATTGGGTCATATCTGTCAGAAAATTAGGAGGAGCTTTGATTTGTTGTGGTTGGATTGCTTGCAACAGCTTAACAGGGATGTCCATTGATCTTCTACATTATTTCTCACATATTTTCTTGAATTATCCAAAAAATATAATTTCTCTTCAACTTGCTCTGAAAGGTACTGAAGTCAGGGGGAAAAAATCCTGAACTTTCCGCAAGTTTCCTCAGTCCTAAATGACAACAAATTATTGAATTTTTCCCTCAACAATTCACAAAAAAGTGATTTCTACTGATTCTTTTATCTCCAAATTCATGCAGTAGAACTCAGGTTATCTGCGATAAGGGGCCAGAGGCACCACAATTTATGAATCGCTGACTGTATGTCATTGCTCCGCCAGTAGTACAGTAGTTAGCACCTTTGACCGTGTGACCTGAGTTGAGACTGCTTGGCAAATTGAGAGAACCAGCTGCTGGAAAATGGAGACAGAATGACTTTTGATGACAGTCATTATTCATTGGACCACCTCTTTCACTCTTTTCCATCCATGAAAACAAAATATCAGTGCTCCAGACAACCGCGGATAATGTAACCACAGATAACCAAGGTTCTACTGTTATACCTTTGAAAAATTAAAAGCTTTTAAAGTCCTCGTTCTGGAAACTTAATAAGGATAGAAAACTCTATCATGAAGAAAAGTGCAGTCAATGCTATTACTTCTCTTGATGTTTCTCCTCAACAAAGACTTTTCCAAGTTTCCTCTAACATTCTCCTGTTTTCCTAACTTTTCCGTTTGTCTCTTATCTAGTTCTTTGTTTTTCTGGACTTTTTCCAGTCTCTTGGATTTTCCTTTGTTCTATTTTTTCAATTCATTTTTATTGAAACACTGATAAATTAATTCGGATAACTGGATTTGGATAAGCGGAAATTTTGAAATGAAGGATGTGTAAAGTTGTAGAAATTAGTGATACTCAATGAAAAATGAATAAACTGAGCATATAGACTGTCTGCCAGGCTGAGAAACTGAAAAGTTGTCAAAGAAAACTGAGAGATGTTAGATTAGTCTGGTAAAACCAAAGGAAATAAGGGTGAACAGGGAAATTTCAGAGCATTAATTTCAGAGAATTTTCCAAGAGAGACCAGAATTTTTTCCTCATTATAAAATCTCTACTCTGAGTTTATGGACATTGAAATAAAGATTCCTAGAGAATTCTAACTTTTCAGAACAAAAGTAAGAACTTGGTGTTATAATGAATGGAGGAAATTGTCAGAAATCTCTGCCAGTCTAAATTGTTGATGAGTGAAATCATCATTGAATACCGATTTACACGCAATTTGATCTCCAAATGTTGCCTTGATGCTAAGAAAACTCTTTATTTTCTCAAACTGTGGGGATTGTCGCCCTGAGAATGAGCTATCTTGGTAAATTCTTTGGAAGGTTAAATCGTCTTATAGTGCCCCAAAAAATTTCTGCTTAATCCTGTATGACTGCATTTAGTGTCAGCGGCATAACTGATAAGCTCACAAGTATACCCTATCGAATTGCGTCAACATCATCGAAATTGTCAAGATTAGTACTGCAAAAAAGTGGTTGCATGGATAACGTCTTCATACTTTTCTCAAAATTTTTGGGCCTGGAATGTTGAGGCTGAGCTATCCTGCAAAAATATGGTACACCATTAAGAAGCCCTATTTGGCCCAAAAGAATATCTACTTAATAATGTATGACCCGTAAGCTTTACCCTCCACCCTCCCCAATATAGCTTTTTCATTCCATGTTACCCCAACCAGGGCCGGATTAAGGGGGTGGCCACATGGGCCGCGGCCCATGGCGGCAAATTTTGCAATTTTTTTTAAATGTAGGTATAAAAAAAAAAAAAATCGGATTTAGAAAAAAAAAATTACAAACGAGAAAAGGCCGCAAAATCTCTCATTTACTTAGAGTTTAGTAATTTCTAATTTTGTCGTCTTTCAGTGATACAAGAGACAGCACCTTTAATTAGTCGAGTTAAGAGAGAAACCAAACACACAATTTGGCCTGGAACGGCGCGACTTAGGGAGAAATGATGACGAGGACTTAAGATGAAAAGGAGAAGCCCTCGGCGCGGCAATCGGCATGTAACACGTATTAGCGCCTACAAGATTGCACGAATACTTCACGCATTGCATCAAACACAGTGCGGTTATTGTGGTCAGCGTGAAACGGATAGCGCCTACAAGAATGCATGAATACTTCACGCATTGCGCTAAACACAGTGCGGTCAGCGTGAAACGCACAGCGCCTACAAGACTGCGTGAATACTTCACGCATTGCGCCAAACACGGTGCGGTCGGCGCGGCGCGGCGGCGGAAGTTAAAATCATTAAACCTTTTGTGTTTGTTCTTTCATAGTTCTTTCGTTCATTTCTTATGAATGGAAGGCCTTGTCCATTAGAGAAAGGTTTACGAAACTTGACTTTCGCCCAAAGTTCCGTGACCTTTTGCCAGTAGTGTTGACAGGGCTTTTCCAAAAAATGTGTTCAACACGAGTAAACGCGTCTTATGCACCCCTCCCCCGCTGGCACGTTCACTTGATTGTTTTTATTGATGTTTCAAAACGAACGAGAAGGGGGCGGCAAAATACAGGCGGCCCATGGGCGGCAAGTAGGAAAATCCGGCCCTGACCCCAACATGTTGCTATGACATCATCGACATTGTCTGTATCAGAATTACAAGAGAGAGTAGTTTTGTAGATGACATCATCGTACTTCTCTTAAACTTTGGGGGTCTGTAGCCCTGAGGCCAAGCTGTCCTGGAGAAAAGTTTTGGACAGGTTCTCTACCCAGAGAATTTCTACTCAATTTTGTATGATCTTGTATGAGCGCCCCC